AACATCTACAACCAATATGAATTCTCCTGAGCTAAATTTCAACTGACCCATATAAAGGTATGAATACTTATGCAATGGAATCATTTAAGTTTTTTAATTTTAATAAATTTGCGAATATGTTAAAAAACAGTTTTTTGCTTTACCATTATGGTGTGTCGACTGTAGATTGATGTGGGAAAAAAGTAATTTAAAGCAGTTTAACATAAGGCAGCAACATATCAAAACATGAAAAAAATGAAGGGGTGTGAATACTTTTTTTTTATGGAAGCCCGTTTCTGCCAGGTAAGAAAAAAATCATGCCTTAAAAAGTTAAAATTATGACATACTTAAATCATAATTACGAGATAAAAAGTTGAAATTATGAGATAGAATGTCGAAATTATGACTTAAAAAGTCGAAATTATGAGATTTAAAAAGTCAAAATTATGACTTTAAAAGTCGAAATTATGACTTGCTGGCTCACTGATCTACACGACACACGATTATGGAAGGCCAGGTCTAATAATGTGAACACGTTAAGGAGTATTTTATATGGAATTTTAAACCTGGTTTGATGATATTATTGCCTTAATTAGCGGAACGGCATGGAATACTGAGCAAACCCACTCTTGAAAGGCAAAGAAATCAATCACCCCACGCAAGTCACAAAATGATTACAGAAGTAGGCCTATTGCACATAAAGAATCACAAAATCAAAAGATTATAATTCACGTAGCATATGTAGCCTAGATGTGAATGATCCAGCATCATGTTCAGAATGCATTGACTTGGAAGCATAAAACGTTCTTTAACAATATACTATGGGAAAATTAGAACACTGTGAAAATTCTGAAGTGAAGTGACATGTGGCCAAGTATGGTGACCCATACTCAGAATTAGTGCTCTGCATTTATCCCATCCAAAGTGCACACACACCGCAGTGAACAGTTTTTGCTGCGATCTGTCAAGACACTTTTGTCACAAAAATGTGCAATAAGCTGTTGAAGGGCCTGGCCGCGATGAATAACAAGAATTTTCTTCACCCTTTCACTCTGAACAAACGGCTCCAGTGAGTTATCAATTGGAGAAGGAACAGAATATGATTCCTCTAAAAGAGGTAAGGTGTCATCAAGCGCAGTGTCTTCCAGCCCAGAGATGTACCCTGTGGAGACTGTTACAGTGCCACTATCCTCCAGATTGTCCACCTCTGGCTGTCTGGCTGCATCAATCTCAATCACACTTGATACATCAGTCACGCTAGTTATGGAGTCGGACAAAAAAACATCATCACTGCCTGCTGCAAATACAGTGCTACTGCCTACATAAACAAGGCTCTGGCTCTACATTCTCAGTCAACACAGGGTATTGGCTGGTACGTGTGGGAGACCAGGAATCTTGCATGTTTTCCACTCTCTGCACAATTGTTTCGCTGCTGAAGTGGAACTGTGTGTCTGACTGTGTGTCACTAGGGATGATTTTCTTCTTGGTTGTCAAGTAAAAACGCAAGACTGGTAATTCGGTCTGCTCATAAAGTTCTCCAACTGTAATCTGGTCATCTACTGCTTGCTCTTTAAAGTCTGTTACATCAACCACAAAATCTGTGAAGTTTCCCTCTGAACTTTTCTCACCAGGAAAAAACAAATTGACAGCTTTTTCAAGTAGATCCTTTTTTCTAGTGTCCTTTGACACACAAATTTTCCGTGTACCCCCACCTTTTTTTGTTCGTACCTGAGTAAACTTCCCTTCTCGAAAATGCATCCATCCCATCTCAATTTTTCGCATACTCTGAGCATTTTTTGACACTTTTTTTCACATACATTGTCAGCGTCACCTTTGCTTCTCGCTAGCCTGGTTCTCAGCCGATCAAAAGGTTGAGCTTTTCGGCCACTGGGATCGTGTTCTTTTCGCCTGCAGTATCCATGAACAGCCAGTCGGTCACCATAGGAAGGCAGATAATCCTTCAGCTGGTCATCTGTCATAAGCTGTATGACACTGCAATCAATCTAAAAAAGAATATACTTTAAAACACTTTAAATATAAGTTTACCATTCTCTGATGACAGTGAGGTATAATTCAGAAATATTATTGATTTAACTGAAGTGACATTGGATGAGAACTGAGCTGAGATGGACAATGACATTACTGCAGAGCTGCTTTATAGCTGGATTGAACTCATTTCATAACTGATCTTAAACTGTTTTAAATGTAACTGAATTAACGCTGAACTGACTTCAGCTGAACAATGTCACTATTTATTATTTTTAAAGACCATAATTTTCCTGTTTCTTACTGCAAGCTGCTTTAAAACAATATGTATTGAGCACTATAGAAATAAAGGTGACTTGGATTGATTATAATGTATAAGGAATAATGTACAGTCAACTGGTTGTTATAGAGTTATAGAGGCGGTTTGTTTTTTGAACCAGACAGGATTACTGAGTACTCAGTATATCTAGAAATAAACAAGACAGAGCAGTTTAAGCACTTCTACTGGAGAATATTATTTAAACAGAATATATTGTTCCAAAGTTTCTGTGACAATTTTTAGGTACTGCACGTGTGATACATATATACTTATTAGTTTCATGAATACCTTATCCTGTTGCATTCGCTGTATGATGTCGTCAGAAACGTTTCTTGACTTCAAGAAGTCATAAAGGTCATCCATCCTAGAAGACAAAATGATGTATATGATAATACCTCAATGCTGGTTATCAACATAAACTGCTAGAGCTGCTATCAGATCGGTCCGTGTTGCCATCTAGTGGACGGTACAACTATGAACGAACAATAGAAATCACAACGAGAAGAAATCCGTCTTATGATTTGGTTCGATATCAAAACTTTTTACACATATCATTTCTTATTTTACAAAAAAAGGTTTAAACCAGGTTCAAACCAGGTTTAAAATTCCATATAAAATACTCCTTAACGTGTTCACATTATTAGACCTGGCCTTACATAATCGTGTGTCGTGTAGATCAGTGAGCCAGCAAGTCCATGACTTTTAAAGTCATAATTTTGACTTTTTAAATCTCATAATTTCGACTTTTTAAGTCATAATTTCAACTTTTTATCTCGTAATTATGATTTATGTCATAATTTCGACTTTTTAAGGCATGATTTTTTTCTTACCTGCCGGAAACGGGCTTCCATAGAAACTTTCTCGTAACAACGAGAAATTTTCTCGTAACGAGAAACTTTCTCAAAATAATGACTTATTTTCTCAAAATAATAATGAGATACTTTCTCATAATTATGGTTTAGTTTCTCATTATATTGAGAAACTTTCTCATAATAACGACTTACTATGTCATAATAATGAGAAACTTTCTCGTAATTATGAGTTAATATATTATATTCAGGGGTGACTTATTTTCTCATAATAATGAGAAACTTTCTCGAAATAATGAGAAACTTTCTCGAAATAATTATTTATTTTCTCGAAACAATGAGAAACTTTCTCGAAATAATGACTTATTTTCTCATAATAATGAGAAAATTTCTCGAAATAATGACTTATTTTCTCAAAATAATGACTTAATCCACGCATGCGCAACGCAAGAGTGACGGCACGCTAGCGACATCTGTTGGTCAAAGCCATGCAGGAACACCGCAATCATTGCTTTGTTCTGTAATCTAAAGTGTACAATCTGTCATTAATTAACGATTTCAGATAAATTATTTGTATGTAGTCTTTCGTTAATTTGTAGCACCTACCAACAAGTTACTCTGCCAGACAATGATAGTTCATGGCTTCAAATAGAGGAATATATTCCAACAACAATCATTTGAAGAAATTAAAGCCATTACACATATAAACTTAGTGAATAGATGTTCATTTCAATGATTTGTTAGTTTTATTAGCTGTCACTTTCATGCATCAAATGCATAGGCCCACACTGTTTATACAGTAGCCCAATCTCATCCCGCTTGCACATAGTTGTTTGTTACCAATTTACCACGGCAACCACTTGGTCTTCAGCATCACACCACTTCTTGCAGGACATGTGAACGTGAAAAATGCTTAATGTGGCTCAAAGTACAATGACAAATTCAGGATACAATATAATTGATCATGCATACGGGCAAAGCATAAGAGCCCAGAATTTGAACACAACCCCAAAAGTTGCACGTTAAGCGTCTGCCTATAGAAAACCGATATAGAAAATGCATAAGCGTCGCTGTTTTGTGTTGCATTCATATTTTGGGTCCACCTGAATGCCTGTATACAGTATGATCATTAAGTTGTGTACTGAATTTAGTTCAATCTGTCTTTGTACTTCAAGCCACGTTAAGTGTTTGTCCTGCAAGAAGCGGGATGCTGATCGAAGACCAGGCGGTTGCCGTGGTAACGAACAACTACACTTTGTGCAAGCGGGATGATATTGGGCTACTGTATAAACATTGCGGGCCTATGCAATGCATGAAAGTGACCGCTAATAAAACTAACAAATCATCAAAATAAACAACTATTCATTAAGTTTATATGTGTAATGGCTTTCATTTCTTCATAAAATGCGTGTAATTTTTGTTGGAATACAAGTGAGTGACGAGTGACGTGACATCCCAACAAACACATTTACGTTGTGTCAACGTCGCTGCCACGTTCCATTTTTACTGTGGCAACGTTGCTATCTACGTGCTCCCGACATTGTAGTTGAATTGTAAGACGCGAAAGGGCTGTAGCAACGTTGTTACGCGACATTCAGCAACTGCGAGACGACGTTCCGACCACATTTATTTTTATGCCAGATTATAAATATTACCTTTTCTGCATCTTATTTTTTTTTTTTTAGGTGAATCTCTTAATAATCAAACACAAGATAAATATGTAATACTTTTTCAAATACTGTTAATCATTAATTGTTCTTTTTAACGTAAACCCTGCTATGAAACTTTCAAGAGGAAAAATGCCATACAAGTTCATATAATCCAACTTTATTAAAACATTGCATACATATCTATTGCATACACTACCAAAACATACATTTTAAAAAAAGTATGTTATATTAATTATATTTAGCTCAAATATAATGGACTACAAATAAAAAAGCTTAAAAAAAGGCATTTGAGAACGTTTGCTGAACAAAAGAAAAGCAGCTGAGACAGTCAGGTCACCGGCTGATGAGGCGGACTCGGGACTGGAGAACACGGCGGACAGGGGAGCGCAGACGGGAAGGTCGGACTCGGTAGACATCAACAGTCCAATAAAGATAAACACATCCAGAGGAAAAGGCAAGCGCAGAAACCAGTCGGCAGGCACAAGTCAAAACCAGGCAGACAATCCGGGGACAGAGAATGATGTGCAGCAGGCAGGTAAAACTGGGCAGAGAACAAGACGGAGCAAAATCAAATAGCAAGCCACCAATATAGGAGGACACAAAACAAAGCACACTATAGCAGAGAAATGAAAGGAAAGAAGAAACATAGCTGTAAGCAGTAATCAGTTTGGCCAATAGAAAAAAGAGCAAAAGTTAGAAAAGAGAGACAAAGATCAAACCTGACTCCTGACAGAAACATCACATTAGCGTATTCTTTTCAGTCTTTTGATACTTTTATTTTAAACATCTATCAAATCTTAAGTAAATTTTCTACGAGTTATTTTTATTTTATTTTAGGTCCTTATTATAACAGGATAGTACAGATATGAAAGAAAAAGATAGTGAGAAAAGTGTAGGGTGACATAAGCCAGGTTTGAGCTCCAGTCATACGTACAGAAATGCTAGGCTGCTCATAAGGCTGAGTCTCTGAATACTTACTTAAAATTATGAAAAGAGGTGTAATGAACCATCTTGTAAATGTGGGGCAACTGATCGCTGTAAAATTAAATGTCAAACTTAGTGTCATGTCAATACCAGCTGTACAGAACATTAAAGCAATATTAAAAATCTCACACTTGGGTTTTTAGTTTGGATTAATTTAGTGTGTATTAAAAACATTGATTCTTGGGTTTTTAGTTTGGATTAATTTAGTGTATATTAAAAACATTGATTTGCACTTAACTGCTAGCTTGAGACTTTGAGGGAAGAAAAAAAAAAGTACTTAACCAGGGCTGGACAATAATAATAAAATACCTGTCTTGGAGCATATCCTCGAAAACAGTCAGTTATATCATAATTGAAAGTAAAAAGTTGAGAAAAATCATATATGTATCAATATATTGGACGCATGCGCATCTAAAGTGACCTCACTGCTGTCAGTGTACTTAATGTTAATACTAAAAAAAAAAAAAACACTCATTGCTCTTGACTGATTAACTTTTGTAGCATTAACAATGATTCATCTATATTTAATTTATACAGTGAGGAATATGCAATATTATTACATTTGTTTATTCAATTTCTGTACCTGATCACCTACAAACTGTTCTATTTATTTATTGTGCTATTGTTTGTAATTTGTTCATTTGTTTCCCTTATATTTAACTAATCAAAATTTTTGCCATAAATTTATTTATGAGAATACAAGATAAGGATCAAAACAACAATAAAAACAGCTATTTTATTTTTGTGGCAGGGCCAGTGAAAATGTTGGCTGGGCAAGAAAAAAGTAATATATTATACATACATATTGTCAGTAATATAATACATTGTCAAAATACTCACATTAGCCTTTCTCCTAACCAGACCTGGTGCATGTTTAAGGGTCTCTGCAATCTGGCTTTCAGCATCCATGCTAGTAGACCCAGGTTGTGATTTCATTATTGCCCCTAAATGGTTTAAGTAAAGTTTTTAGAGATGAACAAGTATACTTTACATTTGAACAAACAGGTATTCATCCCATTTGTATTGCCAATAATGTAGAATTCTGTCACTATAATGCAAATCAAAGATAATTGAAAATACAATAGAATATACAATAAAATAAATGCAAATACTGTTGATTTTTTTATACTTATTAGAACTCGATAAACAGAGAGTTCTTCAAGTCTCCTCTTCCCCTTCCTTCCTTTGAGGCTAAACTGTGACCAAACTTCTGAGGAAGTGATTTTTCTCATGATTCGCCGCACTGTCTCTCCATAGTTTGGTCTTCCAATTGTAGAAAGGTATTTAACCTGAATTTAATTTAAATGGAATTGTCAAATCCTATGCATACACACAGAACAGTTCAGCTGCAAATAAGAATGTCAAATTCTAA